GTTATTCAGCTGCTAAGAAGTGGGAGGAAATGTATGTGGAGTGTGTCATGAATAGATGTGTGGAGAGAGGCCCTTAGGTGAGAAGAGAGCACTCTAAAAATTATTTTTGTTCTCCTTGAAAAGAGAAATTGGAAGAAGGTTAAACAAGTCGAAGGTGTGTGTTTTGGAGAGATCAGGGAGTGGTGGCTCTGGGCGTGCATGTGTGTTAATGTCCCCTCCACTGTTTCTGTAGCAACAAGCTTGTTTGCGGCTCACCTGCTGAGACTGAGCTTTGGCGTGTAGCCCATTTCCCAGCTACACCATGGAGTTATCCCAATAAAAGGTTGGCTCACCAAGCCCACTTCTCACCACAGTAGCTGGCGGCAGATGCTTTCTTTCAAAACCTGTTAGTTCTCCTGAAGCTCTTGTGTTCTCAACTCATTCTTTGCCATTGAACTCATGCGCCAGTTTAGACAACAAGAAGGTCAGGTTAACCTTTATTTGCCTGTTTCTCCTGAGCTCCTCTCTCTGTCACTGTCTCACTCCTCTTATGGTCAGAGCAGCAGGAGTATCTGTGTGACCCTTCTGTGACCCCAGAGGCCTGTAGGGAGCTGCTGCCTGGACAGGACTCAAGACTCTGGTGCAAGTTGCACTAAAATGGAAAAAAAATGCCTTCATGAGTTTACTGTCCTGTTCATTTTCTTATTTTCTTGGTGGTTTATGCTGTGGCAGCTAATGAAGTCCAGATTCTATCAGAGCCGTTAAGATGGAAGAGCTGCGAAACTGAGGGGTCAAAAATGGCAGCTGGTCACGTCGCTTGTGGCTTTAAATAGTTCCAAATGGGCTGTACCAACTAATCAATAAAATCAATAACAATAGTTGGCAATGAATTTAATTATTTGTATGATATGGCCACGTTGTGACAAGTCGACGTGAGTGGCGTCATTCACGTTTCCAGCCCGTGAAACACAGGAACAGCCAGATCTCTGGAGATGGACGTGGAGCCTTGAGACTGTCCAGGCTTTTCCACTACTGTGCTTCTCAAATCCTCAGGCAATTCTTTCCTCTTCTTTCTTTTCTCCATGTTCAGTGTGGTCCACACGGCACAAAGGTTGTCAATTTTTCTCCATTTTAACTGGATGCAAGTGTCATTTTGATATTGTGAGCACTTGTTGGTTGCTACAGGTGAGTTTCATTACAAATTAAAAGAGCATCACATGCCTGAAATACAATTACTAATTATTATTTTGAAAATGTGAAAATTCTATCCAGTCCATTTTTGGAGTTCTTTGTGGAATGGATCAGATTTGGCTTTTTTGTGTTCCAATGCAAACAATTGAAATAAACATGAGGATACCAAAGAATTTGTGATTGCAAGTTTTCCAAAATGCAGGGGTGCCAATATTTTTCACTCGGACTGTACTTAGAAAGTAGAACTGAAGTGACAGTCATTACAAGATGATTAAAACATTTCAGAATGCACCTGCATTGTTTTGCATTTTAACTTTCATTCGAATGAAAGACTTTTTTTCATTTTTATTTCATCATTAAACCATTTTTAAGAAATCTTCAAAGTTTCATCTCGTCTCGTTCTCGTGCTGCTCTTAATGTTTGGAACTGTTCAACGTTCCCATGATCTGCAATTACTGCAGAAAAAAGAAAAAAAAACTTCATTGGAGATCACTCTCCTTCAACTCTGGATTCTGTGGAATGAGTCTGTGTTTTAGATCAGTAGTGGAAATGTCAATGAATTTATTTTGAGTATTTCTGGAATCCACTTTTTTTAAGCAGTCAGTGATGATTTTTCTTTCTTCTATTTTTGTCTTTCCATTCACAGTTTGGTCTCTGTTGCCATACTGCATTTTATCAGATTGCACAGTACCTTTTATAAGAAGCTTAGTCAGGAAATGAAGCTCTTGACCTGTTGGCTGGTTCTATTTTTGGCTGAGCTGGCATGAATTGCAGATTATGCTTGTTTGTTGTCATGGTCAACTGCTCTCTACTGAAATGTCTAGGTTCCCATGTGTTTTCCTTTCTTCCCAACTTTTGGCCCAGTCACTGCCACATTTTCACATATAGACTAGTTTGATGCAGTGCTTGATCAGAGTGATGTGATGCCTAATTCTAATCATCTGAGTGAACTGTTATGTTTTAATGTCAGACTGGTTTATACTGTCGCTTCAGAGAGAAGACACAGTTCAGCCAGCAAGCCCTCCTCCACCTCGCCGTTCTCCGTGTCAGGCAGGAACCGGAGCAGCGGCAGTAGCTTTGGGTCTGGGCTGGGCTCGGGGTCTGTTGCTGGAGTGGCAAGTGGAGGCCGACTTTCCACCACTGGATCCAGCTTGTCCTCCTCTTCGACGTCCTCCTCCTCCTCCAATCCCAAACTCCTCAAATCAGCCAAAGAGAAGCTGCCAGGCATTCAGCGAAGACCCCCCTTTGCACCCGTCAGGATGCTCCAGCCGGAAAAGATGTAAGTTTTACTGTGTGTGTGTGCGACATTTGCAGCGCTGTGAGCTCCTAGGGTTGAGTAATATGGCAATATGTACAAAGGCTAGGGCATGAGGATTTGAATTGTTTTGATATTGAAATTGTGTGCTTTTATAAAGCCACAATTTTAATTATTTTTTGTGAAGTGTCTTAAGCTGCAACATGAGTCAGTTTATTTCATTGGCTATAGGGCTGAATGTTTAATCACTTCCAAAGAGATATCACAGTTTAACAAAACACAATTTTCAAACCACAAAAGGCCCCATTTAAACTGCCATTAAAATGTATTTTTAAACACTGTAGATTCTAAACAATCCACGCAGTGTCCCCTCTGGCTTCAAGCACACACATTCTCAGCCCTCCTTTGCAGTCTTCACTGAAACCTGCAGAGTAAATGAGTGAGAGTGGAAAAGGAAAGCCACAGCAATAAATTTCCACCTTTGGTGCTACTAGCTTCACTGACTATAGCCAGTCCGATTAAACTCAAATGACATCAACCAAGAGACAACACTAGTGTCAAAGAGAAACCGTAGCCTATGTCATCTGGACCTATTTTGGTTTTAGTCCAGAGGATCCACACCAGGAACAGATAATGTGCCAAAAGTGCCTGGCTAAGGTAGCAACAGGGCAAGGCAACACCTCACATTCTTTCAACATGAGGAAAAAAAAACAGTTGCCACCTGTGCCTTATAATACAGGATTGTTTGTTCTGACAAATAAAACGCACACTGTCATTTGTAATGCTTAAATATATTGTCCACAGTAGTGAAAACAAAGTAAACTAAACCAGCTTAGAAAAGCTGTGAGATCAGAGGGATAAAGACAGATTGTCATCTTTACATATGTGGAGCAGCACAGCCCGCTGGCTGTTCTCTTCACCTCTGTCTCCCTCCACTAACTGTCAGTCTGGTCCTGCGGCTATGCCACCCAGCTGCTGTTTATACTATCATCATCCTTGAACACTGAGGCGGCAGCAGTGACTGTTGCTGACTCACTTTACATGAATAGCACAGTTAAAAAACATTAAGGTGTGGCAGGAGTTTAAAAAAATATTAAACACTTCAAACAGCTCAGTGCATCTAGCAGCAATAACTGTGCAGAAGACAGGATTCAGGATCACAGCTCCCACTGAGTCCACTACAAACACCAGTCAGGTTGTACAGCATAACAGGAAATCAGAATTAAGCTAGTCTGATTTTATTTAGCAGGGTGTTGTTGTACAGCTTACATTTCTGTTCTGGTTTCATCAGAAATTCTAATACACTACTCGAAGTCTGTGATGAACTCGGATCTGCAGAATTGTATGAATGAAGGAAGAAAAAATGTGCCTGTTCTGTATTTACTACTGTACTGTCCAGTGTGAATTTTAATCTCACACTCTCTATAGACAAATTACCAGCTACAGGAAAGAGAAAAATAGAAATACACTTTAATAGAAAGCAAATTGAACGACAGTGAACCAAAACCTCAGCACCAGCTACACTTGTATATGGATTTTGGGTTTGTCCTCTGTTGTCAATTATAGTAAAGACTGTTGACAGTGAATAAAAAAGGGGGAAACAATTGCATATTAAATCACAGTATTGAAAAGAAAGACAAATTACAGTTTGATTATTTTTGCTAAATTGTACTAAAATGACTGTTGCCAGTAGACCTACTCAGCTATAATGTTAATTTCATGAGTACCCACACAACAAAAAAGAAAACCTGGCTGTTGTCTGGTTAAAATGTTCACACTCGACTAAAGATGGTTTTGCCAAAGACAACGCTGTATATTTATGTAAGTTTGAAAATTTTAAGGAAAGGGTTGTATTTTATGCTCAATGACCCAATAATATGGCTTTGCTACATTGAAATGTCTTTGTTTTGTGCTTTTTGAGTCTTTGCTAAATGATGAATGATATTAGATTTATGTTTTGTCCTCCCAGCTCCATCCATACATGCACATCTGTCACCTACCATGCATTTCTCACTGGCTCAATGTTTCTAACTCTCAGCTTCCTCCTTGCTGCCCTCTTCATCTCTGTAACCTTATTTTCCAGCCTTACCCCGGCTGTCAAGGTGGAGAAGATGCATCTGAGGGTGGACTCGTCCTCTAAGCTGGTGCAGGCCCCATCTGCCCCTGCCACCACCTCATCCTCCTCCACATCCTCCTCTAGCACCACTGTGAGCTCCAACACTACCATCACCTCCTCCTCCTCCTCATCAGCCCTTAAATCAGGCCTTAACTGTCCCTCCATACCAATGCCTCCATTACTGGCCCCGGGTCAGATTCCTAATGGCAAGGGCCACCTCTCGGTCCTCTCGGATAAGAAGCAGGACAGCAGCAGTGCCAGTAGCAGACGCCACTTTAGCAAGAAAGTGTCAGGTGGGCTGATGAAAACAAACTGTTGTAGTTTTGTCCTGTTAACATTTCACATTGTCAGGTCTGATTTATAAACACTCTATAGAATATGACATATTCTACAGAGACACACAACACAGCTTACACTTCAGTAAAGTTTAACAGTTCCGCCGCACTCCTCTCCTGTGCCCTCAGAACGCGAGTTCAATCCAGATACCCACTGTGGCGTTGTGGATGTGACAGCTCGTAAACCATGCACAAGATCTCTAACATGCAAGGTAATCAGTCTCTTTTTTTTCCTCTGTTCTGGACTGGGGGGTTTCAAGTAAATATTAAATGATAAGGCCAGTCATTTTCTATATTAACAGTATTTTCAACACTCCCATAAGGAGATTAAAACCAACAATGAATTGCCTCTACTCACAGTAAATGTCTGTCAGCTATTAGTCCTGGATTATCTTTTTCATCTGTGCCATAGATCTCCATTGTTGTTAAAAAATCATCAGTAAAGCACACGCTGCAATGAGTGACACTTTTCTTCATTAGCAACCTCCAGACCTGAGCATGAGTAGCGTACAGAATGTAAACACAGCTTGCGGAAGATCTTGTTCATCTGCAGTTGACTCTGACTCACACTAATGTCATGAAATGATGGGTGCTTGGAGATTTTGGAATAACATAGTTGGGTCTGGCGTTTCATAATGAAAACAACATGTCACCCAGAGTTAGCGGTGTGTTTCACTAATGTGTTTTTAAAAAATAATGGAGATCTATTGTGCAGACGAAAATGCTAATTTTGGACTGACAGCTGACGGACATTAACGGTGAGTAGAGACAATTCATTCTCAATTTTATTCTCTGTATGGAGATTGCTAAAAATAATAATATAGAAAATGACTGGCCATTTCCTTTAATCATTTAAACCATATTGCTGATAGTGTTCTACAGTGTTCTTATTGTCAAATCCCATTAAAGGACCAAATCTCTTCACCATTTATGTAAAACAGCATAAGTTATAGTGAGTCTGCAGCTATTGTGAATATTTTCCTATTTTACAACAGAGGATAGAACAGGTTTTGGACGTATGTGTGGAAACAGACAGTTGAGGCCTAGTGTTTCTAGGACACATGTTGTCATTTCCTGTGGCTTGCTACTGCTGGAGCCTATATGGCCTACAAGCTTTTCAAGCTTCCTGTATGTAGCATTAGTTTCTGTCCCATGTTAAGTTTTTATTCCTCAGGAAGTGCATCAAGCTAGGTTTAGTAGTTTCCACGCAAAAACATGGAAGCCAGGCTTGCTAATGTCGGTAGATGTTACTTTTTGTTATTTCACCACCTGCGGAGTCATTGGTAGCTGCTGTACAGCCACAGCTCCTGCCTCACTGTAGCTAGTGTTAGCTGTCTTTTCTTTTACTGGTTCAGTTGTGGTGGTGGTGAAAAATGATCAGACTGTCAAAATTCATAGCAGGTGGTAGAAACCTCAGCACTCCATATGTTTCTGAGTACGGTGTCACTGAGTAATGGAAAGAAGCGCTCAAATCACCAGTGTGACTAAGCAGCAGCAAAGAGCATCAGCCCTCCTGCTGGTTAACTGCCTCTGTCATTGTTGGAATGGTGGGTGACACTGTGAGCTATTTTTATTGCCCACCCACACTGATATTACCCAAACCAAACTAACATTACCAAAAATTCACCATCCCCTTGAGAACACTAATGAGGTGACCACTGTCATAACAGAAAGCTAAATAAAACAAATTTCTTTTCTTTGGTAGTTGCAGTTTTGACCAATTTAAGTGCACAAGTCAAAATAAGCAACAAGACAACTTGGACAACTGTGGAGCTCTATGGCACAGAGCGATAAGCTATGTTAAGCTTTACACAGTCACTGCTTGTTAGCAGGATCATTTCAGTGCTGGTGTTGGACTTTTCTTGGGATTTGTTGACAATAAAAATTGAAAAAAATTACAAGAGTTAAATGTAACCTGTTGATTGGATGGCTGTGATCAGTTTCAGCAAAGTTGCACACATTTCGCCAAAACTTTTAGGTACAAATCAGGTCGAATGGAGCCTAAGCAAGCGCTCTTGCCAGACTGATAGTAATTCCTTTATAATGTCCCATCAGACACATTCCTTAAGCCAGCGGAGGGCAGTTCCTGGGAGGAGGAAGCGCTTTGACACATTGCTGGCAGAGCACAAGAACCGAGCAAGGGAGCGGGAGAGGGCGAGAGAACTCCACCAACCCCATTCCCAGCAGAACCCCCCTCTCAGGGACCCTCACCCTTCCTCCCACCTCACCACTGCCCATGACACTCACCAGGTGGCTCATGGCAATGGCCCAGCCCCAGATGCCACTAAGCCTTTGCCACTCAGCAAGCCCAAATTCCACAGCCCTGGTCTTCCACGGTGAGTGCTGCACCAGACCGATTCTAATATTTCATTTTGTTCTGCATGCATGTACTGTGTGTACTGACAACAAACTAGCCATTATCAAGGCAAATAAATCAGCTGTGCTGTCTGTCTATTAGATTAAACAGCAGTCACTTAGGTGGTACCACTGGAGACCCTGCAGTGGTCCACGAGTTACCACATCATCCCCAAACTACCCCCGATGGGTTTTTCCGACCCTCCAGTGACGAGGGAGAGAATGAGGAGCGGGAGGACGCTGACAAACTGGACTGTCACTATTCAGGTTATCATCCTCGACCGGCAGCTGTAAGTACCATCACTGTTCTCTGATTAGTCATAAACAACTTTTCTTTCATCGTCTTACAGTAGTTTAACTATGACGGATTGCAGATTTTTAAATATAAAATCCATTATAGGTTTGAGATGGTTGTCTAGCAAGTCAAAAATGTGTACCTTGTTTCTGGTCCCAGTACTGTACCTTTGGAAGTCGACTGTTTGGGAGAGGCTGTTACTCCTTTGACCGGCGATGGGACAGAGTGCGATGTGCCCTAACCACAATGATGGACAAGCATGTCAACTCTCAGATGTGGAAGTAAGCGTGTCCATCTTAAATTTTATTATGTGTCTCTGTGATGCCTACTGACCATCTTGTCTCTGTAGGTCAGAATTCTTGACTTGTTAATAGGTAATGAGTCATGTTCTGCTTGGTTGTAGGAAAATCCCCTTGGCCTTGGAGAACTCCTCCTCTGTTGTACCTACCCATAGGACAAGCACAAATTCCCATAGTAGCACTCCCACTTCAGGCTTCCTGGGCCCCCCTGCCACTTTATCCCAGACTCCTTATAGCCAATCTTACGAGGGCAAGTCAGTGCTCTCCTATGGGACCACCTTAAATGCCCGCAGCTCACCACAGAGCGGGGCTGAGCACCCGGCCTATGGCACCACGCAGGCCCGACAAGTGTCTTCGTCGCCGCAGATGCCTTCAGCCCACTCGTCCTCATCCTCTTCTTCTTCAGCTCCTTCCCTAGCCTCAGGCCGGGCGCTTAAGTCCCGCTCCTCCAGCAGCAGCACTACCAAGTCGTCATCGTCTTTCAGGCCCCGGGAGGTCTCCTCTGGCTCCTCCACACCTGTCACCCCCAACTCCACTGGTGGGGGCAGCAGTGGAGCCAACAGTAACAGTAGCAGTGGCAGCTTGGGGAAGAAGAGGAAGAACAGCTCTCTACTTTCTTCATCCCAAGGCCCCTCTGAATCCTACTCTTCTAATCCCAGCTACTCTTCCTCTTCCTCATCTTTCAAAAAGAACTGTGCAAATGTCGGCAGCTCAGGGAGCACCTACCACCACAGCTCATTAGGTCCGTCATCCTCATCATCATTGTTCTCCTCTCACAGTGGAGTCCACAGTGTGGGGCTTAACTGTGGCCCCACTGTGCGGACCAACTCGCTTAGCCTCAAGGCCGAGCCTTCTGGAGCTTCAGCAGGTGGGTCCTCAGGGCCTCCTGCACGAGGTCCTCCCTCGGGCAGCCCTGCAGAGTCCATCAAGCGTATGAGTGTGGTGATGAATAGCAGCGACTCCACCCTTTCCCTGGGGCCCTTTGTCCACCACCAGTCCTCATCTGACCACCACACCAGCTTCAGCCACCACAACTTAGATGGGCGTCTGGAGGGCAAGAAGCGCAAAAGTTCTCCTGCCTCTAGTAGCATTAATAGTGGAGGTGGGGGAGGAGGGCTTGGAGGGGGCGGACCGCCTGGACCAGGTAGACCCAAAGTGGCCAAGTCACCTGCCATTAACAACATCCATGGGAAGCATGGGCGGAGCATTCCAGGGACGCCAGGGCTACCCAACAATTCCCATTTACATCAGGTGGGTTTTGTACTCGGGAGGCATTTTAAAACAGAGGAGTACTTGTGTTTCAGTGAGAGATAAATATCTATTTATTAGTGTTGTCAATTGGCTAAAATATTTAGGCACATTATTGTCCACTAATCGCACATTGTTCTTAATATTTTAATGTACCTTAAAGGGGCCCTGAGGTAACTGATTAGTGAGAGAAGTCCAGTAGTCTATGGTGAGTGCAGCCATGTTTGTCTGTCCCAATGCCAGCTCCACTTCAGCTTTCTTGTCTTCATACAAGTTGTGCATCTTGGTTACAGTGGTGGCTCTCGAAGGCAGTTCATACATACAGTCTTTGGATGCGTTGCAAATTATTTCAAGCAGAGCCTCGTTCTTCACAATGTTAACTGGCCTGCAAGCTGTAGCCACACATTTAACTATCGCTGTTGAAAGTTTGTTGCTTGTAGAGTTGTCCAGGCGTCTCCATTGCAAACTATCTAGTATGGTCTGTCCTTTAGTGAGGAGTGGGGAGGGCTCTCTGCATCAGCTGTGTGCGTAGCCAGCAAGTGGTATTTGAGACTTGATGTACTCCAGTGGTAACTCAGTTCACATAGATGGTACAGGCAAGAGAACCACCTAGCAGGCTTTGAAGCTGAACTTGCCATTCAAAAGACCCTTTTCTTTATCCATTTCTGCTCAAGGAGGTTTGTTTCTGCTTGCCACTCACAGCGCTACTGTTGCATTACTTCCTGATTACCCAAACAGCGGGGTGTGCCGAGGGTCATAATCAAAGAATGTGCTTGCGTTGTGTATTAAAAAAAAAAGCCTTAAAAGGAATTTGCATTAATTTATTGCATTAACTTTGCAGCCCTATTTATACATTTGTTACATTTCAAAATTGTACTTAAAAGCCATCTGACAGTATGTGATTGTTACCAACAACAGTTTATTGTATGTAACGTAAAAATTATCTGTGAAAGTTCGTTAAAGTTTTAGTCATCAGCCAAAAACTGCTGAACATTCACTGGTTCCAGCTTCTCAAATTTCTAGTTTTCTCATTTATATCTGTGTAATTTGACAACATTTTGAACTCTTGGACATACACAGTTTGATGGCACCTTGAGCTATGAAAACTTGATGTTTTGACCTTTTTTAAAGTCAGAATCAGAATCCGCTTTATTGGCCAGGACATGAGGAAGTTGACTCTGGTATATATCCCCATGCAAGGCAACAGCAAGGGGCAAGTAGACAATATATCAACATAAGGCTGTGTAGTATAGCAAAATAAACAGGCAGTAAACGATGCAGTCAGACAAAGGAATGTTCATTGGACCAGCTGCTCAACCTCCCGTCTGTAGGCTGACTCGTCGCTGTCTCGGATGAGACCAATGACCGTTGTATCAGCAAACTTTAGGAGCTTGACAGAGGGGTCCTTCAAGATGCAGTCATTGGTCTAAAGTAAATTATAAATTAAAAAATAAATGGCACGAGTAACACCATGCTTTGAGCATCTTTTAATGTAGGTTTATAACCACACTTGCTGCATGACTTTAAGGAAAACAGTGACTGCCTATGTGACTTTCTGACTGTTCACCACTTTGGTCTAGACTGAAATACCTCAACTATTGAATGAAATTTGTACACATATTCATGGTCTCTAGAGGTTGAATCCTAGGTTATGCCCTGACCTTTCAAAAATCAAAGGTTAAATTTAAAAACAAAAAATCGGGGAGCAGGACTATACAAAGAGGAACTGTGACAGTTAGGGAGCTGCCAAAAATTGTCATGTAACTTGAAGATACATTATTTGAATCCCCACTTCATGAATGAAGGAGACATAAGAATTGAAATTGAGTTTTTATATGGATTCTGGAAGTCAATTACACTTATTAAAGGATAAAGCCATTTATTTTCAACAAACCCCAGACAAGAGACTAAAACCAGCAATGAAACTGCCTCTACTCATGGTTGATGTCTTTCAGTCCTGCATTAGTTTTTGTCTGTGCCCTAGACCTACACTGTTGTTAAAAAAATATATATATATACTAAAACAACCATTCTAATCTCTTTTTTTTCTTCTTCCACCCCCAGCCAAAGGCTCGTCCCTGACAGCGGTGTCCAGCTTCAGTGCATGGAACCGGTAGGCAGCCAGGGAATAGTACAGAGCAGTCTGCATACTGCTCTGTACTGCACGAGGCCTTTTAAAATCAAACCCACATTACTCTCAGCTTCCCACAATCCTCAGGGTGGAGATGATCTGGACTGCCCAGTGAAGTTAGTGTGGTCCTTGCTATTTCTCCCAAAGCCATGTCTGTGTGGGGGGCAGTGGCACTGTGTGAGGATAGCAATGTGGAGTGCTAGGGGTCTAATGAGCAAGCCAAAGACCCCCCCCCCTCCCAATGCACGTGTTGTCCCAGTATTCTGAGAGGTCTTCCTGTCTGGTCGCAAGTATGAGGAACAATAGCAACAACCATGGATCTTTTGAGCTGCGGTTCAGAACTCATTTGCTTCAGGTTAAGGGCTGTGCGTAACAAGCCGTCATGACGCCGAGCAACTGGGGAAGACAGCAAGCCGATCTCTTCCGTATTTGTTAAAGAATGCGTGTGTGAATGTGCGTGTGTGTTCGAGTATTTTTCTCATGTCAGATTCTGCTGGACTACTGGAATTTTCAGCTTAATTACACCCCTAGCGCCTGATCTCAGAAGCCTTGGAAGGAAAGCAGGAGGAGCAGTAAACTGTACTTGCAACACAACACACAATCAACTTGATGTTTCACTTTTACATCAGTCGACTCTCTCTGATGACAGGTGAGCAATCTGGTCAGTTCTTGTGTTACCCAGAATAATTATGCAAGTGTTACCTTTTTATGATCTCTTATGAGCTTTTTACACTGTACTACAAAGAGTCTCTGTAGACATGCTGAAAACAGTTGCTTTCAAATGTGAAAAGGACGTCTGATGCGCCCACCCGATCGAATCTTTTGTTGGAGAGAGAGAGAGCTTGCTCTTGAAGACACCTATTAATTTTCTGAATCTTTTTCATCGTGCAAAATGATAGCCACAGTAGACCTACCCCCAACTGTGAACAGCACTAAATAACTACTTTCTCCACTGGCACTGCTTAGTTGTCCACAAAGCTAGCCAAAAGCTGCTGTCAGCTTTGCCAACTACATTTTTTTTTTTTTTACTAGAAGGTGGGCAGTCTTGCTCATGAAATGGTGATGGTGCATTGTCTGTGTAGATCTGAAGAAAATCTACACAAACTTTACTACTTTTACCCATTCAGCTGTGTGAAGCTGCTTGTGGTCAGATGTGAATGGTAATGTGTTATTTTCTCTGCATAGGAAATTGGGTTTGGTACGTCTTAACTGGAGCAAACTTTATGCACATCACCTGTCTTCTGTGGGTATGTTTGTCCCTCCTGTGTGTTGACCACTACCCAAGCTCTTCAATGCCTCAGTGTAACACTGTGTGGTGTGAAGAGATTTGTCACAGTAGAACCGCTAGCCAGGCGTTGTATTCTATTCCTTTGTCAAAATGGAGTCTTAAATCAGGCAATACTTGCCCATCTCATTGGGATGTTTGCTTTCTTTGCATTGTCTTGAGTGGGTTTTATGGTGCGAGATTCATGGAGATGGCTTCACGGGACATACTGAATCTTTTGGCAGTACCTGCTGATTTATGGAACCTCCACTGATGTCAGATCGTGTGGGGGGGGGGGGAAGCCGAGACGTAAAAAAAAAAAAACGGAATTTTTTTTTTTTTCCTTGTAGCTTATGTATCAAACAAGTATCCCTATTTGAGAATACATATTTTGTTAACAAATTGTACATAGTGAAATATGTATTTTTGCACAGACATTTTTCGTACACGCTGAATTTTTGGTACAATTTAGAAACAAAAGTCATTATTTATTTAGTAAATAAAAATGAGACATCAGACAACTTGACTATTTGAAGTGGTTCACTGCCAAGTCAATGTAATGCAATACACCTATATGTAGAAGCTGAAGCATCTCATGAATCGTGTACTGATATCCTTTAAGGAGCAAAGGTGAAGTGTTGCCTCTGTAGCATGTTTGTACGAGAGGATACCTTCGTTCACTTTTCAAGGTCTCAATCACATGTGCTTTTACAAGACTTGACATTGCCTATGAATTAGTATTTGACCCAGTTAGCCTGTGATTTTAAAATGTCATACAGGCTTGAAGCTGTGGCCATTGTCTAACCAGTTTCCATGGACTCTTCAGTCTGACATGCTGTAGACCTTAACACATTTTATAAATGACTCTTATGTTCTTTTATAAAGGCTGAAGGGACTTGAGCAGTCATTGCAAGGAAGGTGAAGACTTCCAACAGTCCAACTGTTTGCATTATCATTGCCAAACAATTAATTTGAATCACAGCTTTTAAAAGAAATATCAAATTAAGGAAGTGCCTGAATTTGTTTCACCCTGACTGTTTGAGGACAGTATTCTGTGGGTTGTTTTACCTTACTTGAATGTTCTAAGTGTTTAGGAGTTTGCTTTAAATCTGCCTATGAACCCTAAATGTGGTAAAAACCTGAGCTTGTCAGCTGCCCAGTATGAAACACTTGTCTCTCTGGGTTTATCTAAGTTTTCTAGATAAGATGTTGATGTTCTGTTGGCCTCAGCCCCCTTGGGTTTACTGGGATTTGTATGTAAAAACCTTCAATCCTTTTGTTTACCCTCAAACTCCACTAACATCTTGACCATTGTTTCCAGTTTGGGGAGACATTGCTAGGATGTTCTATTAGCACCATAGACTTGGAATGTGAAAGAGAATACAGCTTATGTCTGGGAGGAAAAAATACATCCATTGATACTATGTAAAAGCGTGTATAGATTTTTTTTTTTTTTTTTTTGTACACATTATCAGAATCAATTTCAGCTGGACGTATTGGCTGCTATGTAATTCATGAACAAAACATAGGTTAGAATTAATATTTAAAGAAAAAAAGATTGTATAGTATATTTGTTTTGTAACAAGTTTCTGTAAATAAAATAATTTATACTGCTATTTATATGAAATTGTGTGTCTGCCTTTTTCCTAAGATAAAAAAAAAACAATGTCAACAGTTAAACAAGTTTTATTATATATATACACAGTAAATCCTCAGGGTTGGGAAGAACAATGTTCCATGGTTACATGTTGATCACTCTCGATAACTTCTGGACTCTGTTGAGCAGCAGGTCGCCTTTCTTGATGGTTTCCTGGTACTGCCAGTTTTTGCTGTCAGGTCTGAGGAGAAAAAACGCAAAAATGTTTAGAGTTCTACATCTGGTTATACAGAAGCACATTGCATTCAGCAAATAAAAAAAAAAGGATGTTATCTTGTAATTATGACATACTACTAATTACGAGATCAGCATCACATAAATACGAGAAAAGATAATTACAAAAAAAGATCTCGATGAAATCTCAATGAGATAATGCAGGGGTTGGAACGCAGCAGATCTTGCCTGAAAATCAGCAGGTTTTAAATTCTGTAGTGTCAAATTGATTCAGTTAATATATTCAATAGTGCATGGTTAACAGTTCACTTTTGCTAATTCAGTATAGTGTTTTAAAACAATATAGATGGGCCTCAAAGTTGCTGCCTACTGTGTAACTCACTACAGCTCTATACCTAAACATGTACTGACCAGGAGTTGGAAAGCTTCAGAACCTGCTGAGAAACATTGGGTTAAGATTTTTTCATTAGGCTATTTACATAAATCTGACTGCACATCCCACAATAGGCTAGGTAATACAATTAACTGCTAATAGCTAATTTGGTGTTCCAAAATGTCAACAAATAGACCTATAGCATAGGCTAAAAACAGCACCCACATTATGACACACTGTATCGGTGGCAACATTACATAGCCTGTGGCCTACTGCCTGTTTCTTGTCGAAGTGTACATCTGGTTCACATGAGTAACATGACTATTATGTTTAATGCTTTGTCATAATTACAGGATCCAGAGATCAGGATCTTGTAATAGGTTGTTACTGTTGCTATTTAAGAGAGGCTTTGTAGGCTGCTGGATTTAACTGTCTAGATCCAGTACCCTATATCCTACAGTCTACTGGGCTAAGAATATGAGCTTAAATATACATTTTTCAAAAAAAACTTTTTGCATACTAGTAGAAAATGTCACAAATGGTAAAAGTTCAGTCATGTGCATAGATCATTCTTTTACAACAAGTATGTTGCCATAGATATGAGTGACTGGGCTGCAGCTTGGGCACCATTTTTAGCCTACATTTGTTTATGTTTTAGAACACTAAGTACACCAAATTAACTATAATCAGTTCATTTCTGCTATGTGCTACTGTATGTATTGAGAGAATTATGTAAATACTGAAGAAATTTTAGAAACCTAGTGTTTCCCAAGCAGGTTCTCTAGCTTTCCAACTCCTGCTCAGTACATGTAGCAACTTCGAGGCCCATTTGTAGTCTATAGTTATTTACGTTGTGGAACACTAAGTATGCTGAATTAGCTATTAATAGTTCACCTTTGCTATGCAGTCATTGAATTGCTTTGATACTAAAGAATTCATTAAAACCTGATGATTTTCAGGGAAATTCTGCAGCACTACAGTCCCTGCATTATCTCGTTATTACAGGATCCTGATCTTGTAATTCTATAAGTATTAAGATTTGAGGAATAGAAATATTACCTATTGGTTTCCACAATCTCGTTCACCTTATCAATCTTACAGTGGAGACGGCCAGCGGCTATGAATCGGGACAGCTCCCTGAGAAAAAGAGAAGAGTCCAGTTAGACCAGAAACGTTTACATTATAGGCCTTCGTGCTCAATTCAGATCTCTGTTGATGGTTAACATTCATATATGTATCCACCTCTGATTTGAACACCACAGAGACAGAGCACCACATGTCATACTCTGAAAACCACACCTAGTGGGAATAATAAAATTCTTTGCTCTCCATTGACTGTGTATTGGGTGAAGGCATCTCTTTAACAAGTCTGTCTTTTTACAAAAAAAAAAACTGAAAAATGCCTAAAAGAAACTGTGGTAGGATGCAGTACCAACAAGGTAAAGAACCCAGAGTTATAGTTTTAAAAACTGCTGAACAAATAAATAAAAATTAAGACGACAAAGATAAGAGGTGAGGCATTTGCTGGACCAATAGTGAAACTGGTATTCCTGACACGCTATTGCTGCGTTTCCAATATCGGAACCTAACAAGGGGTATAACCTGTACTTCCCTTAACCATCACCAAGCATAGGGGGTTGATGTGGATCCTCCTGCTTTCTTTTTCCACTGTTTCTCTCTGTTGGTCTCCGTTCAGAGGAGGGAGGGCCTGCACCCCTCATTACTCAATGCAATGCAACACAACACATTTTGGTAGGTTCCTATAATGGAAAAACTCCTTGTGTCTGAGTGCATCAGGCATCCTGGTGTGTTTGCTGGTGCTTTAGCTAACTACAGTAGCATGCTAGCACATGGGAAGAAAATTACTGTTGCAATTTATTTCCAATATACATCTAGAGGGATGCTGGGGTACAGCTGATGACTAAAACGATTATGGGACAAGTTAGCTGATAGAATGTTAGCAAGCTACTCCCATTCTTCCTGCTAATGCCTCACTTCAGTCTTCTTTCAGTTTTTTGTAAAAAGACTGAATTATGAAAGAGGTGCCTTTTTTACTCAATACAAAGTCAAAAGGAGCGAGATGTATCGTTCTCCACTGACACAGTGTGGCCTAAATGCACTCTGAGGTCCTAACTTGCCAGGCATGTGCCTGCTTAATTGAAATATGAGCCACATACATACAAAAATAATAGCATGAAATGTTACTGTCCATAATATAAAGATACTAACAATTTATCACTTCAGATATTCTAATAAAACTACTGTATGTACATGCAACTTGTCTCAAAGTACTTTGAGCACTAGCGAGAACTACAACTAGGCTTTCCACAGTACAAAGAGGATTGACTTATGTATAAAATGATGCACATAAGTGTGGTGTGCTGGCACTCACTGGTCGATGAACTCTGTGCTGACACCGAAGGCTTCAGCCATGTAGCCCAGGGTGAGGGAGCGGTAGGACTCCAGCAGCTGGCTGTAGGCCTGGATCCTCATCTCCCTCACATAGTAGCGGTAGTGTGGTGCAAAGAGCCAGTCCTTCTTCATCTCCTGCTCCACCATGGCTGTAGTACAGTGACAAGAAAGTCTTGGTTATTTTTGAAATGGCAAAAGTGTGGCAGAGCATAAAACACAGCAGCATGGAATACACACAATGTTTGGCAGTAAAAATCCCATTCAGGTTAAGTACATTTTGGAATAATTTAAAAACTGTAAAGAAAAATTAAAACAGGCTTCCTCACCCAGAGACTGGAAGAAGACAGAGTAACGGCACTCATAGAGTGAGAAAAGATACTGGCGGACAGCAGGCAGACTGTGCAGCACCTCTAAGATCTCGGCTCCTTTTATTACCTACAGAGAAAGACATTTACTCACATGGGTGTAAAACTGTGTATTGCACACAGTTTCAACGTACTGAGTACATGCAGCCTGTCCTGCTCCTACCTTTTCACGGAGGTCGGGCCTTTTGAGGGCAATCATGCAGACGTAGACGGTGTAAGTAACAAAGGTCTTGTAGTCCATAAGTTCATAGGAGGTAAAAGTGGAGACTGTGTCAAGGAAGAGCTCAGCTGCTTGCTTGAAGTCCCTGATGGCCACACAGTACAGGCCCTGAT